ATGTGAATCCACCTTGCTGGGGATCTTCCTCTCTTTCATGAACTCTCTACTTTGGCCAGCATTATTTCTTTTTTTCAAGAATTTTCCCCTTCTGATGACATGTCCAAAGTATGTGAGATGATGTTTCATCAGCCTTGCCTCTAAGGAGCACCCTAATTACACTTCCTCCAAGACTAATTTGCTTGTTCTTTTGGCAAGCCAAGAGCCTGGGGAGGTCATAATATAGACAGCGGGAAAATCGGACTGTGAGCTTTGCTCAAGATCTCAGGTCTCCCTGACCCAACCCAGCTGCTGCTATTTTTTCTTTTTCTTTCTTTGGTGACCCTGGAAATTACTTGATATCATTAGCTGGAACTATAGGTGGGTGGGTGATTATTTGCAAGCTATCTGCTTAGTACATAATGAAGGGCTGAGGCAAGGGGCCTATTCCAAGGCCCATCTTGTAAGCCGAGTAGAGACTGCAGGTTGTCTATTTCTTGCACCTATAGTGAACATCTATTCTATTGATGCACTGGCTTAGCTTAGCTGTTAAAATGTAGTAGTGAAACCCAGGAAACTGCCTCTATGGGCATTATCAAAGACAGCATTTTTGCAGCTTGCTGCTCTTCTGTGAAGTCCTTTTGGGTACTAGAGCTCTATGTCAGCAGGTAAAATGATAATGCATTAGAGTATCTTTCTTCAATTATCAGGTAGAGCAAACAATTTGTCTGAAGAACATGCCAGAAAGAACATTGTCAGTCTACAAACCTATAGGACAACATGCTTGAATTGCAAAGATCTAACATATGTACTCCTGTGGGCTGTTACAGTTAGAATATTAGTCTGTGTGTCCTGCTAAATCATGTACAGAGCTATTTTATGTGACTACTATTCCACAGACTGGTTTATGTGAGGGACTGGTTTGAGGGAAGGAAAAAAAATATTGATACTAGGCAGTCTTATGAGAATATGAATCAAATCCAAAGTCTCAGATTCAAAAGAATGAAATAATTTATAGAATGAATTAACTTTACCACTTGTTCCTGATTCAACCTTCATAAATAGTTCAGTTCTTCTGTTTTTCTGTTTCTTAAATGTACCAAGAATAAAACAGATGAAATAGGGTTTTACTGTTCTCTGTTACTTTTGAATTGGAGTGAATGTTTAAAAATGTAAAGATTTTCAATATTATTGTATTGATCAATTGGGTTAGAGGTATGGAGACATTTGACAGTCACTAGCCCTAAAAGAGGAAGAGTCCCCAGCACAGGAGCAATTTCTGTGAGTTCAGACATGACCCCAGCTCGCACACCTCCTTCTATGAATTCTAAAGCCTACTGTCCCTTCCCAGACTCTCACTGCCCTACTGCTATACTAAGTCTGCTAATCTCTTGCAGTGGTGGCTGCTGCTACTGTCTTCTATACATCACAGTCTGTCTCACACAGATCTCTCTGGCACAAACAGATGAGCAGTGCACTCTCTGATGCTTTTTTTTTTTTTTACTTAATGTCAGCAATGTAAATTTTATAAGGCTTCTAAAATCTGGAAGACTCTTCTGTATACAGTTCAACTAGTCACATAGATAATCTGATGCTAGTCATTCATTGTTTGTAGTATGAATGTCTGTAAACTACCTGTTGGTGGCAGCCCATGTTTTTATTTCCTGTGAAACTTACAGCTAGTTGTAGAAAATGTGTTAATTTCTCATTACTGAGGCAAGAAAAAACTAAGTTATTTGAAAACATTTTCACATGATATATTCCACTATTCTAAGTAGAGAAATGAGCACAAACAGCCTTAGTATAATAAAAAATAAATTTGTTATCATGGTAAAAGAATATAAAAGTATGTCACTCAGTCTTTGATTGAATGTGAACATTGCTGTGATCATTACATGTTTATTATGTTGTTGTTATGTGTGACTGAGTCACCCATGATTTATAGCAAATATATATATGTATATGTGTATATGTATGTACACACACACACACACACACACACACACATATAATAGCTCTTAACCTGCCCTATCCTAAGCCTGTCTTAGTGACTGACACACTTAACCCCATTCTCCCAATTACTGTGTCAATCTATCTCATTGGGGTCTTTTTCTCCTGTTCTGTCCCTCTAATCTTCCAAGCATGATGTGCTCCTCCAAGGAATGGTCCCTCCTGTTGATGTGTGTAAAGTATGTGAGATGGAGTTTCAAAATATTTGCCTCCAAGGAGAAACTTGGTTTCACCTTCTCTAAGATAGACCTATTGTTTCTCTTGGAGGTCCATGGTATATGTTCAATACTCTTCTCCAGCACAACTCAAGGACATTGATTCTTCTTCTGTCATCCTTAGACATAGTCCATCTCTCTGATGCATAGCAAATAATTGTGAAGACCGCAGCTTGGATCAGGTGCACCTTAGTCTCTAGAATGATGCTGTTGCTCCTTAGTACTTTAGGTCTCTGACAGCAGACTTTTGCAATGCAATTTGTCTTTTGATTTCCTGACTACTGGTGTTGATTTTATCCTCTTCAGAGTGTGCATTTCTGGCAGTATTTGGCTGTCTCTTTATATCGTAGACTAGTGCTTCTAGGCTTGATCCCAGTTTGTCTCTTATGAACTTTATGGTTTTGGGCTTTACTCCCAGGTCTCTGTTCCACGTTGAGTTGATTTTTGTGTGTGGGTGAGCTGTGGATCCTGCATGAATTGTACATTCGTAGTAAGTCATTGATGTGGACATTATTTTAAAAGATAAACTTTTGAGGCTAAGAGAGATTTTACAATATGTCTCAATGGCACAGCATCTAAGCAGCTAAAGAGTGCCTGAGGCAGTGGCTGGGTTGTGACTCTGGAGGGCTGTTTTTAAATCGGCTCCACCATTTACTGTGTTATTTTGCATTTAATTTTCCGGTGCCTCAGTTTCCTCATCTATAAAACACAAATGATAACAATTCCTATCTTGCTGACAGTTGAAATAAAACAATTCTTATGGGGGGGAAAAGGGTTGATTGTGGAGCCCAGCAAGCTGAAATTGTTAACAACCTCAATATCTTTTCCATCCGTCATGGTGCTGCCAATTGGCCCAGAAGTGAGAATCTTTGTCTTCTTGATGTTAAGAATCAATCCATATTGAAGACTACAGTCCTTGACCTTTCACAGCAAATGCTTTTATAATTTTTCTTTGTTTTTTGTTAGCCTCTTATCAGTTATGAACTTTTTCTAATTTTTATTTTGTATGGATTTGCTTACAAAGTTCATATACATTGCGTTCCACACTATCTTTCATTCACATTGTGCTTCATGCCATCTTTCCCATTCATTATGTTTTATAAAATTAATCCACATTAAGCTGTACCCACCAGTATGCTATGGGCCTTATCTGTAAATTTGTATTGAATCAATGAAAGCATAAATGAATGAACTGGAATATGTGTGAAGTTGTTGTGTTGTTGTTTGGTGCACACAGATTTTTCTACAGTTGCTGCTAAGTGTGTTGTTGCAGTCATTGTGTCCATCTAATCTACTTTTTTACTGACCCTCTACTGAATTCACCATATCGTGCTTCTCCAGTGACTAAGCCATCCTGAAAACATGCCATAAGTCATATGCCATGAAGCTTCTCCACCCTCATCTTCTAGCTGCATTCTCCCAAGACAGATTTGTTCTTTTGGCAGTTCACAGTATGTTCCGTGTTCTTCATCACCACTGCAACCAAATGCATCAGCTCTTCTTCACTCATTCATATTCATTGACCAATTTTCACATGCAAATTATCCAATTTAAAATACATCATTAGGTCAATGATACCTATTAACAAAAACATATGACTCTTAGCTGAAATTGTATCACATTCTCATTCATAAGCCAAAGACCAAAGACATACAGAGATCAATGGATTACTAAGAATTATTAAGATTGACTTAGAATTCACCTTCTAGGGCTGAGGAAGAACCCCTCTTACCTTGCTGTACTGAGCTTCCAATCCTTTAAGGGGGGGGGAATTGTATTTTGCTAATATATTAATAAGAATTATATTTGTTTTTATATTGTTGGAAATATAAAATAACAATGGACTATTTTACTTCTGTCACATCTATAAGTTCAGAAGTATGCAGTGTAGCTCTATAACATTATTAAATCCCAGATTTATACTCATTTTCTGCCCAAATGTATTGAATGTGATACTTTTGTTGTTAAGGTAACTGTCAAAATTCTAGCCATTACTTTCAAGTCCCTGAAAAGAAAGTAAAGAGAAGAAGAATGGACCTCCTTCTCTGCGGTAGTTTCTGAAAGTCCAAAAAAGCATTGTGCTTCAATCGTACTGGCCAGAACTTTGTCACATGGCTACACCTTGTCACATGGGAGACTGGGAAAATGTGCCCAGTTGGACATGTCCAAAAAAAGAAAGCAATGACATGTTTATTTTACGGAGCAAAAAGTAGAATGGATATTGTAGTTACCAACTACCAAAATCTATTACATAGAGCAACAACAAAAGATAGCATGAGCAAAGACATGGATGATGACAGCAAGACATAGAGAGATCAATGAATTTCCCTAATCTCTACTACTTAGCTCATCTCTGTGGTAGGCATTTCTAAGTAGGGAAATAGCAGAGGAATAGGAAGGAGAAGCAAAGGGCGTCATAAATCAGCAAGGTGTTGAGTGTGTATACAGATAATTAGGATTGTGTTTTATACTCTATCATCCTGTAGTCTTCTTGGAATACTTTACATATGAAAGGATATAATTTTTCTGAATATGGAAATGTTAAAGTCAAGGTATAAATGATTTTCCCAGCCTAACTGTCTTAATTAGCAACAAGGTCACCTTAGGGAAAAGCAAAATATTGCCCAGAAGGACAGGCTTATTATGAAAAGAATCAGGTCTGTGGAAGTAAAGGGGAGAAGCAGATGAGGAGCTAATTAGCTACAGTAAGCTGTGGAAACTCGTTGGTAAATTAGAGTCCGTGCGTACCAAGTCTCATTATTACACGTGACAGTTTTTTCTCTTTATTTTTTAAAGGTAGCCAACCAAGTTGTTCAAGCTCTTCTCACTCAAAAGGTAAGTCACTTTCTGGCTTTGTTCTTTTGCTTATTTGAATAGATTGAACTCATATCGTCAAACTGGGAAATTGTGATTAATAGATGCAATAGATTTTTATTTATTTGTGTGTTTGTTATTTATTTTTTTATTCACTTAAGTTAAAACAATGTATATTTTAGATGACATGTGAAGTAACATCAATGGCCAACAAAAGTGAAAAATTCAAATTCTTGGCAAAATGGTAGAAAATCTGCCAAAGATGAAAGTCTTTCTTATACCCCGCCCCCCCCCCACCCCCCGCCAATGGATACAGCAAGCCTGTCATTCTTACTTAGTAAATGAAAGTGTTAAAGTGATGCATTCCTTCTCATTCTAGAAAATAAATGTCTCTATAGGCGGCATTGAGAGAAGCTCAGGAATCAGCAAGGGGTCTTTGAAGTTAGGGAAGTTATTTAATTTCATTTCTTAGGACTGCTGTGAAGATCTCATGAAAGGAAGCATGTAGACTAATTCTGATAAAAGCCACATGTTAGTAACAGTAAAATAAATAGTAACTACTAAGTGTAGTGATAAACCTAATTTGGAGATAAAATTACTCCAGAACAAGTTGTTGATGTTGCCGTCAAGTCTGTGAACTGCACATGTGAACCCTGTCGTATCCTGCACCATCCTCATACTTCCTGAAACACTAGAGTCATTGCTGCAGTCACCGTGTCAGTTCACCTGGTTGAGGGTCTTGAGGATCTTCCTCTATTTTACCATCCCTCTGTCTTTCCAAGCATGATGTCCCTCTCAAAGGAATAGCCTCTTCCAGAAACATGACCAAAATATGTAAGACAAAACCTTTCATCTTTGCTTCCAAAGAGTACTCTGGCTATGTTTTCTCCATGACATATTTTGGCCATCATGGGATATCCAGTACTCTTCTCCAACACCACAGCTCAAAAGCATCAATTCTTCTTCTTTCATCCTTATTTGTTGTCTGTCCCTCAGATGCATAGCAAATGATCAGAAAGACCATGGCCTGAATCAAGCACACCTTTGTCTTCAAACTGACATCCCAAAACAAATAGTAACTACTAATGAGGAGTTTTGGTGGTATGATGCACTATTCAACTAAAAGGTCAACAGTTTGAATCTACCAGCTGCTTTGTGGAGTAAGGATAAAAGTTTGCTACCATAAATATTTACATCCTCCGAAACCAAATCAAGAATTGCTATGAGTTGAATTCTATTTAATGGCTGTGAAGTAGGTTTTTGGTGGTAGTTTTTACATGTGGCATTTCTGTCCCTACTCCTTTGCTACGCCTCTGTTCTGCCTTCAGATGATAGGCATTTATGTTGGTTTTTTATGTACTGTGGAGCTGGTACCAACTCACAGCTGACCCTCCAGTGAGTTCTCAGAGGCAATAAATCACACTGGAGTTGATTGCTCATATTTCTCCAGCAGAACAGATGGAGGATTTGAACCACATGCCCTTGTTTTGACACTAGGCCACCAGACCTCCCAAGCATAGTCATAGTTAACCTCATTTGGCTGGTTTGGCGACTTTCCCTGAACCTCTCCCAGCTCCAACCATGGTGTTTCTCAGACATAAAATCCTTGTTCCTTCAGGTTTCATTTTTCTGACTTCCCTTTCTGTGAGATGGAGTCTTCTTCTCCAAAAGGAAGCCTTAAATCGCAGACTGTTTTCGGGAGGAGAAGCTAGTGAAAGCAACATAATGGGTGTTCTTTTGATTGACTACTTCTCACAGATGTACTTAAATAGGACTTTTTATTTTTACTATAGAGGCATTGTGATAATATTTTCACTAGAATTTCTCTTCGGGTACTTCTGTCAATATGCCATGCTTCTACAAATGATTTTAACTACAGGTTTTACATTAATGTCACATAAAAAGAGATTTAAGTATTCTTACACAGAGTTACAGTTGTGTTCTCTTGTGAGTAATAGGGAACCCAAACAGCAGTGGCTTATATACATTGAAATGTTATTTCCTTCTCACCTGTGAATCTACAGGTAAGCAGTACAGGGCAGACAGCGTGGTTCTGTTCCATAAAATCCATGGGACCCAGGCTTATAATTCCATAAGATGTGGAAACAACTTCCAAAGTCACTTTGGGACCCAAAATGGCTGTGCTTGCTCCAGCCATCACAGACACATTCCAGCATCAGGAAGTAAAACCGTTGAAGAAAGACTATAAAGGGCCAGCTGTCTTTAAATGGAGATTTCCAGAAGCTTCTATGCCTCCTTCTTGCTTGGCCAGACCTTGATCAAATTTCTTCACTTAGGGAAACTAACAATAAGTCCTCATGCAATGTGACTGCCGTGGTACTAGAGAACAAGCAGATGTTGGCAGAGAACTTGACGTTTGTGCCACCAAGTATTTGAATGACTTTTCAAAGACTTTAATTTCTCAATTGCTTTTTTTCTCTTGGAAACCTCTGAAGGGATTGCAGTTGCAGTTCTGTGTGTAACTGTGTGTAAGATGCCCACGCCTGCCTTTTTTAATGGTGCCTCAGAGAAGAGATGAGGATGCTGTCTGGTGCAGTAAAAAGGGAAACGGGACCCTTCAGGTCAGCCACAAAAAATGGCTACACAAATCCAAGTAATAACCAGCACACACATAAATCTGTCTTGGTGCAGTTAGCAGAAAGACACGGAAAGACATACTGCAGCGAGATAGGGTACCTCAGGGACGCTGGAAAGCGGGAGAACATGCCGGGCCTTCCAGATTCCACAAGAATCATGTTTTGAAGAGCCAGGAGCCTCACAGTTTTTCTAGAACTATAAAATTGCTGCAAGAAGTCTGAAATTTCTTTTTCATTAAGAACACAAAAATAAGGAAAAAAATTACTCCACAATGCAGAAGAGAATGAGTTCTGGGAAGCGGACCAGGAGGCAGAGTAAATACAGAAATCTCAGATAATTTTGCCAGGTTGTCCTGCCCCACCAAAACCAGAACCCACCCTTGTGTTGAAATTTCAGACACTTTGATATGGTTTGGGCACTCTGGTGGTCTACTTGTGAGGAGCTGTTCTGCAATCGCAAAGGCAAGCAGTTTGAATCCACCACTGCTCTGTGGGAGAGAGATGGACAATCTCCTCTCGTGCATTTTATGCCTCTTAAAATCTGCTAGACTGTCAGCTATGGGTCGGTTCTCACTCAGTGGCATAAAACAGTACCGTTTAAAACATGGCATTTGTTTGAACATAAGACATATCTGTCATGGATCCACCTCTTCCCTAGGTAATCCCAGAAGTATTTTTCATGAAATAACATGGATCAGCCCAGTTAAGCATATTCAAGTAACAGAATGTACACTTCTTTTCACTGTTGTTGTTAGGTGCCATCAAATCGAGTATGACTAACTAGCAATCCTGTGAACAAAATATCTGAACCCTATTCTATCCTGCACCAGCCTCACACTTCCTGATACAAAGGAGCCCATTGTAGCAGTCCCCATGTCAGTCCACCTGGTCGAAGGTCTTCCTCTTCGTTGCCGAGCCTCCACCCTTCCTAACATCATTTAGGTCCCTCTCTAAGGAACAATCCCTCCAAGCAACATGCCCAAAGTACGTGAGGAAAAGCCTCATCATTCCTGCATCCAAAAGAACACTCTGGCTGCACCCTCTCCAAGACATATCTGTTTTTTCTTTTGGCTGTCCATGGGATGTTCAGTGCCCTTCTCCAACACTACAGCTTAAAGGCATTAATTCTTATTCTCTTATCCTTATTAGCTCTCCAGCTTGTAGATGTACATAGCAAGTGATTGAAAGACTATGGCCTGAGTCACATGCACCTTAGTCCTCAAACTGACATCATTACTCCTTAATAATCTGGAAAGGTCCCTAACTGCAGATTTCCCAGTGCAATGCCCCTCCTTATTTCCTGACTGCTGTTACAAAGGGTGTTAATTGCAGGTCCAAGTAAGATGAAGTTGTTGACAATTTCAATTTCTTCTCCATCCATCATTGTGTTGACTATCAGTCCAGTGGTAAGAATCTTTGTTTTCTTGACATTGAGATGCAATACATAGCAAAGTCTGCATTCCTTGATCTTCTGCAACAAATGCTTCAAGTCCTACTCACTTTCCAGCAGTAAGGTCTGTGATCTGCATAACACAGGTTATTGATGAATCTCCCTCTGATCCTCATGCCACATTCCTCTTCATAGAGACCAGTTTCTCGGATAATTTGCTCAGCATACAGATTAAATAGATATGGGGAAAGAATACAACCCTGACACATTCCATTCTCTTCTTAACTCCCTCTTTCCAGTACCAGTGGGAAAAATTATTCTTTCAACAAATCTATCCATTGTCATTAAATGTGCATATACTGCCTTGTTTGGGTCACACAAATTATCTCACAAATACTGTGGATTCGTTTAAGAGAATAGATTATCTTGCCTTCAATCAATAGGGCTAAAATGACACTATTAAACCCTGCTTCCTCTATCTGTGCCTTCAAATCATAGGTCCTTGTCTGCAGCTGCAAAGTGAAGGCAATGGTCCAGGCTAAGCTCAGATTCTTACCTGAAATATCATTTATGTTTATTAAGTCAGTTGTGCTCATTGAAAGTGTAGCTCTTCTTGGTTCGCCCATGGGTTTTGCTGCTAACACCAAACTTGGAAGAAAGGCATTTTTCCTGAGCTCTTTTTCAGCATGTCACCAGTCTCAGATTTATCTGCACATTTATTCGAGTAACTGACATTTGTTGGGTCTTTACTTCACAAATATGGAACATGGCTGATGTACAATAGCATATAGCTACATAGCTATTATAAGCAGAAAGCACTTTTATAATGTTTGCTTGTAGAATTCCAAACTAAAAAGCAAGTCATTTTCCCATAGTTCCAATTGCCAAGAAGTATGAATAGCCCATACTTTCATTTAGGGCTATTGCCCTGCAATCTCTATGCTTTTACCTAATTCATGATTGGTTCACATCCCTAACCCCTTTCACTTGTTTACTGGTCCTGTTCCCCACCCCTGCTCCTACTCTTCTTAGTT